ATCATATTAACTTGTTTAATTAAATATTATTTAATAAAAATAATATGTAATGCTACATACAATTAAATAATATTACTATTATATTTGTATATTAGTACTATAGTACAATAAATTTTAGTATAGATAGATAGTACACATACCGATTGCTAAACAATATATTGTATAAAACAAGCTTGACTACAGTTGTTTTATTGACTAAAGAATTGACATGGTAACGATATGTGTAACAGTTACTTATTTGGTTTTGGTACTAATCCCAACACTTTCAATGACTTGAAGATTATTGAAGGTTTTAGCATGTTCCCTAATAACGATGAAAATAGAATACCCTTGTTTTTTACACAGCTATACAACACCAGCACCAATTCCTTGACGGCCCTTGATGTCGATGCTAGTTTTTCTAATTTACCTGGTAATATGGTGGACTTGGGTCCTTTCTCATGCGAATGGGATTTATTACTCTCTCTATTCGGATTGCACCTTCATCCTTTGTTTTGATTTTTGTTCTAACAAATTTTGGAAGCTCAACACCCCCAAGTCCCCAACTCTAAATGGTAAGATTCTTGAAGCCAGTGATTCCATTGCGTACGTTGTAGAACACACAATGAATGATTGTTTGGAAAAGTGTTATTGGATGTGTGGATAAAGCAATGAATGATTACAATTTAGAAGTGCAGCATAACTCTATTGCATCAATTGACAAGAATGAGAGGTTAGAATATATAATAATTTGAAATATTAACAGTTAAATTATACAAATTATAGTATATATATTTTTTATTTATCAAGAAATGAAGCTAAGTGTGCATATAAAAACATTAAAATCATGTTATACAAAATGTAATATATCATACAAAATACACAAAGTAATTTAAATAATAAGAAAATTTTACATGATTATATCAATAATCTATATCTATATATTTATGTAAAATTAACTACACATCTACTTATTATTCTATAAATTAAATTTTGAACTGTATAAAGTTATTTTTATATATATGACTCTACCTATAACTTACGAATTGATATTATATTTTATTGTATTGAAATTTGAAACATATAAAGTCACTCCTATTGACTCACTTCCTTATTATTCTATACATAAAAATTCGAAACGTATTATTCATACTTATTATCTTTGAATTGTATTTAAAGAATGTTTATTAGACTTGATGGTTATATTTTGTTACAAATAGACTTTGAGAAATAATAGATGATTGAAAAATAAAAGTGCAATATCATGAATGTGAGATACACTAAATATATATCGCAAAAAAGAGTTAATTAGTACTGATATGGTACTAATTAATAAAAAGGTATTAGATTTGTATTTTCCTTATCAAAAATTTATTATTTTTAATAAATTATAATTATGTTGTCTTTTACATGTTGTTATATGATAGCTAGCTAACTAAATTTATTTTTAAATTTTCTAATTGATTTTTTTTTTTCTAATGAGTGATCCTAGACCAATATATGAAAGGAACTTTCTCCACCATTTCTGTTTTAATGCATTAATATTAAATTATAAGTTAAAATTACATCAATGTTAAATTATATTAAAGGCTAGCTTAACAAAAAGAAGTATCTCATGATTTGTAGAGTTCCTCTCATTAATGGATGGAGAAATTGGAAGGTTGTTTGAAGGAAAAGAAGAGTGAGTTGAGTGTTGTTGCTGCATGTTTTTAGCTATGATGAAAGAGTAATCAACTACTTGAAGTAGAAAAACCAACGTCAAACTCATAAAAGTCATACTTAGTTGGTGGAACAACATATTTTATTTATATTGTACAAGAAATGCAAATTATCTTGCTCAACAAACTCGTCTTTTAAATCCCAGCAAGTACCTAACACATCTAAAAAAGCTAGACATGTACACTCCACACCAAGTGAACTTTTTTGTTAGATATCATTGGTGCCTCTTTTAAGAACAATCATTGTTATGGATAATTTTTTAAATTTTCTCATATTTTCATAATTTTTTTTTTAAATTTTGATATTTCTGTATTAAAAACTTTATATAAGAAAAAATTATATTTTTATTGTAAAAAACAATTTAAAAATTAAATTTAAATTTTTAATTTTTAAATTTAAAATTAAATTTAGAAATAATCAAAGTAGTTTACAAAAAAATAAAAGAAAAAAAAATTGATTAATCAAGAAGTAAAGAATTGTGAAAAGTTTAAGTCTTTTATATATATATAATGCTTAAGTACTCTGAACACCGATCCAATGAGCTCTCTACATCAATAGAGCTTCCAGAATATAGGTGAGTCTTGAGAAAACAAAAACAAAAAAAAATAATGTATACCGATTCTTGATTGTGCTCATTACTACTTGATAGAAACTTCTATCAATACATATTATATAAATTAATTTAAATTGTATCCATTTTTTTATTTTATATGATATTTAAAATAATATATATTAAAATAAAAAATGTTAGAAAATTTATGAGAATTAAAAATAACAAATTTTTCTACAAATATAAAAATTCAGAGATAAAATAATTTAAAATACTAAAAATTATTATTGACAAGTTTTCATATTTTTATAATTTTTTTAAATTAATATTGAAAAAATTGATATAAAAAAACCTCTATTTTTATTGAAATATATATACTCATTAAAAGAAATATTTTTTATAATGAAATTAATTTTTTTAACTATAAAACAAAAAAGCTTTCTACATGTTTTTGACACCTTATTGTCCTCACACATACACTTTCCTGAAATTTCTCATAATGCTATATTTTTAATAATGCTATAATTCATAGAATAATTAATACATATATAGTGTAATAAATTTTATAGTAATTCTATTTTTATTTAATAATGTTATTTAATTTAATTATACATTATATTTAATAAATGTATATTTAAATGTTACATTAATATTATAGATTACTAAATTATTTATAAAGAGGCTTAAATGATTATTAAATATTTTAATATGAAGTAAGTCATTAAAAAGATTAATAAAATAAATAAGACTTTTTAAAAAAATAGATTAAATTTAATAAAAAATATATGACAAATAATATGTCAAACTTAAATTTTAAAATTATTAAAGGAACTAGACTCATCTATGCAAAAAAATAGTCTAGTCTAACTTAATTTTATCCTTAATTATAATTCACTTTTTTTTTTCAATCTATATTATGCACAATATATACCAAACATTATAAGTTATTTTTTTAAACAATGTTTTAGAAATGAGTCAATTCAAGAAAAGGAGAGGAATAGAAGATAGATAATACAAAAGACAAATAAAAAGAAATTAAAGAGCACCAAAAAAATGGAAGAAAAAAAGAAAATGGAGGAGAAGAGAAAAAAAAAACATCACAAGTATCACCTAACAACAAAAACTATATAAAAGTGTTTGATGTTTGACAAAGTCAAAGACTAACAAGTTTAAATAAAAATTTTAAAGATCAAATTATTTCACTTACAATCACAATACTAATTTAAAGTTTATTTTAAAAAAATTAAATAATTTTAAAATATAATTTATTTTAAAATAATACTTTTTATTGTATAATATTAAATTTTTAATTAAATATCAACAATTAATATATACTAATAACCATAAATTTAAGAGATAAGACTTTATGAAAATAAATTTCAAGTTTCAAAAATTAAAAAAAAATTAAGAATTTTTATAAATATATAAAATAAGCATTTATAAAAAATATAAAATTATATAAGAAAATAAAGAAAAATTACGTAACAATTTTAAAGTCCAAAATTTTGAATGAAATTAATAAAAATGTATATAAAAAAATTAAATCATTAGAAGGGAAAAGTATAATTTAAGAATTAATATTAGTAAATTTTAATTTAAAAATATACTCGTGACAAACTATGAAAAAGAGTAGTTTTATTAATATTTCACTTTTCTAATAATATAGTCTCATTTATAATTTATAATATAGAGGTCAGTAATAATAAAATTTATAAAAGAATTCAAATATATATTTTGGTCTTAATTGTTATTGTAACTCTACTTTTATTTAATTTATTTATATGTTATATTTTATAAATGTAATGTTTAATGCTACATTAATTTCACAGGATAATTAATATTTTTATATAATAAAATTAATATTTTTATATAATAAATTTGTCTGTAATTTTTTAATGATAAAAATATTATAGATAATTTCTGTTCGTTTATAAATTTGTCAGTAATTTTAAAAATTATCTGTAATAGTTCAAAAATCCGTCTATATATATAGATTTTGTAGTAATAAATTTTTTTAAAAATACAGAGTAAAAACTCTAATTTTATTTTTTATTTAATAAAAAATATTTATTATTATTTTTTAAAAATTATTTTAATTTAATAATACTCATGTAGTGTATGAGAAATTTATTAGTTGTACAATATAACGATGGGAAAATATTATTTAATTAATAATAATAAATAAAAATAAACTTCTTATAATTGAAATATACAAAATGAAAAAATGTTAGTATTAAAATGTTAGCATATAAAAAAAACAATTAATTTTAAATTTGGTTATCATGCATTCCAATTTTACTAGCTCAAAATATTTTACACAAATTAATAATTGAAATTCAAAATAAAGAAATAAATGATATTATATTTATGATTCATATATAATATATTATTAACTTTTAATAATAATGCTAAAATTTATAAATTAATATATATAATAAATTTTATAGTAATTCTATTTTTATTTAATAATGTTATTTAATTTAATTATACATTATATTTAATAAATGTAATAATTAATGTTACATTAATATTATAGTGCAATAAATATTTTTATATATATTTAATGCTACATTAAAAGCTATATTATTTAATGCTATATTAATATTATAATATAGTCAAATGTACACAATTCTAACTGCTACGGAGCTGTATAAAACAAGGATGGGTGAAGGTGTTCTACATAAAATCTAAATCGAAGCAACTTCGTGTTTTGAGAGAGAGAATTTGATAGAAGATTTGGAGAGGGTGAAGAATGGTGGTAACGTTGTCAGAAGATTTGACCGAAGATATACTGGAGAGGTTACCAACCAAGTCATTGATGCGATTCAAGAGCGTGAAGCAATCATGGAATACCCTCTTCAAAAGCAACACCTTCATAAAGAGGCATAGCCAGAGGCAGAGGCAAAGAGCATCCATTGAGCGTGTCATGATTTTCGACACTTGTTCTCAGGAAAGTATAACCAGGTTAACTCTTCTTTCCTCAAATGCCCCTGTTCTCTTTGAGCTTCCAGTTGAACAGTATCCCTTTGGCCAATACAGTTCTGACCTTATTTATCCAATGGGTCATTGCAATGGCATTTTTTGTCTTTGGTACAATGATGGTAATCCTGGTTTTGTTCTGTGGAATCCAGCCACAAGAGAGGCTAAGCATGTTCCCCCCTCGCCTTTTTCTAACAGTCTCAATATTAGTTATTATTTTGGGTTTGGTTCTAATCCCAACACTTTCAACTGTTTCAAGCTTATTCATGTTTTTTGCATGTTCCCTAATGACGATACAAAAGCAAAGCCTATGTTTTTTACAGAGCTATACAATACTAGCGCCGATTCCTGGACTGTTATTCGTGATGTGGATCCTTGTTTTTTCACTTTGCCTAGGAATCTACTACCCTTTAGATCCTCTGCTTTTGTGAATGGGATTGATTACTCCTTGTTTTTCGATTACACATTCATCCTTTGCTTTGACTTTTGCTCCAACCGATTCTGGAAGCTCGACACCCCAACTCTAAACGGTAAAATTCTTGAGGCCGAGGATTCCATTGCGTACATTGTCCAGCACACAGTTTCTGAAGATCAAGGACAAATTGGGTATGAAATTTGGATTTTAGAACAAGAAAATACCTGGACTAAGATACGCGACATTCATCCACTTGACAGCGACGTCGAAATCTATGCCCTTTGGAGAGATTGCACTGAATGTCTTGCAGGAACTGAGTATCAACCGTTGATGTCATATAACTCCGATGGTCAAACACTGCAGCAATTTGAATATATTGTACCTCAATATCGTGAGTTCTACAACTATAAGTATGTGGAAAGCATCGCTTTCTTATCACCATAAAGACAAACTATTAGGACGGTCTATATCCTATTTCTCTCGTTAAGAAGAAAAAAATGAATAAGAGCCATTTTGCACCATTCTACTTATGAGGTTTATCAGTGTATGTACCGTTATGGCAATATAATGGAAATAAACTTAGCTTTTCATTCTTATTCTACTTTAATTGTGCTCACCATTCATTTTTCTATTTTCATTGCTAAATTTCAAAATATAGAGAAATATATAGAATCTTTAATCTAAGTTGTCCCATTGATAGCAGTTGGCATTTTCATTTGAGTTCATATATGCTCCCTCTTTAATCACAAGATCGAGCCGAGTATTAAACTAATGTCGTTGTTTAAAAATGTGTTAATTGAACATGTGGATAAACCAATACACAGTTACAAAGTAAAATTGCAGCAAAACTCTACAGGGTCAATTGACAAGGGTGAGAAACATATTGTAAGAATAAAAGAATTATGTTAGTCATGTATCAAGGCGAAAGAGCATGTCACTCCCAAATATTTGTTGTTGGGTTCCCTTTAGTCTAGTTAAAGTTACTCATCATTCGTTCTGTTGATTTTAGGAATGGCTTTGCTTTTAGGTGTCGGGGAAACCTTCTTTAAGTGCTGACCCTTAGCATTGTCTTCATTGTATTTCAGCATTGCATAAAATCCTTGTTTCTCTAACAGTTCTCAGGGTAAAATCTTTTTCAAATTCTATTCTTTTATGAATTGAAATCCCTTCTACTTTCACTTGATTCTAATTTTATTTTTTGTTGAGAGTTTAATTTACCTAGTTACTTTTGTATTTTCTTTTCTAGTCACCGCAAACAAGTAACTTGTTTCAGATAAAAATTCAGATTTTTAATAGAAGCAGATAATTAAGTTTATTTTTTGTCTAAATTTATATTGGATCTCATCTAACAAAATCAAATTTTATTTGTCATATAAAATAAGAAGTCTCATGTGACCAAAGATCCTTACACTCAGACCTATTCTTGACCTTTCTAGGGCCCTTAGACAAAATAAAAAATTAGGCTCATTTTTAAAAAATTATAAAATATAATAAAATAAAATAAAAGCATATGTCATTACTTCTATTAAAATAATACCACTTTTTTAAGTGAATATAATTTTTTCTAATAAAATTAAAAAAATATATATTCTTTCATTAAAACAACTCTTATGTTATAATTAACTATAAAAATATAAAAAATTATAAAAAATAAATTTTATAAGCATTTTAAGATGTAAAATCATTAATGATAACATTAACATCAATATTTTCTAAAAATTCCTTCTTGATTGATAAAATTACGAGATCATTCAACCGTTTTTGTGATATTAATGACCTTAAGTAAGTTTTGATTAATTTTAACTTTGAAAAAAATTCTTTCAGCTGATGCTATAGTCTTTGAGACTGTAAAAAAAAATCTATAAACGATTAAAAAATTTGGATAGTAATATTTAGATTTGACAAACTCAAGAACTGTTTAATTTTTGAAAAAAATTAAAAAATTTTATGAACTTTAATGCTAAAAAGAGTAGAATTTGAGAATTAAATGAAATTTTAAATTTAGAAAAGTAAAAAAGTAGACTATATTTATGGTAAGTAAGATACAATAAATTAAAGAATTTTTTTTTATTTTTTTCTAACTACAAATTGCAATTAAAAATTAGAATTTTTTTTCTATATAAAAATAAAACATAATTTTTACTTGAATCTCTTTTTAAGTCTAAAACTTAGACAGTCACACTTCTAAACTATCTTAATGGCTGAGCATGCTTACATTCGTGGCTTCAATTAACAACCAAGAACCATTTATACCTTTATCTCCCAAACCAATCGTTACAGGCCTCATATTAGATCAATGGATAAGATCTAAAAGCAATAAAGTATAAAACTATATATTTTAAATAACTTAAATGTTTTTAATATCTTGCGTTACTTCCTTAATGTACGGTGCTTATAGTTTCAATTTTACCATCTTTTCATTGAGAGTTTAAATATATTATAAATGCTAATATTTTAATTAAAAAATTTTATGGAAACCGACATAAATATTATAAGTGAATTAAAATTAATTTTAAACCAAATTCAGATTTTAAAACTGATTTTTTTTAAAAATAAAATGACTTAATTTAAATATTATTTATTTAATTAAATAAAATTAGTTTTATTCGAATTCAATCCATACACAAGCCTGTACTATATATATATATATATTACTTTACATCTTATTGTGACCATAGGTAAAGGGTGTTGAATACTTTCACCGACAGATTATTATCTGTAAGTATAGGTTGGTATTCATTTATTTATATAGTTTGACAGTTTGTTGTGTCTGAAACTAAAATGTTATTGAGTTATAACTTCCCGACTGTTACCGATAAGTTCTACATATTACTAAATCTAAATTTATTATTAAATGAAATATCAGTTCACAACAATATTTATAAGAATTTTATGTATGTTGATGCAAATAAAAATAATTCACATTGAATTTCTGGATTTATATGTTTTTATAGGTATTAGCATTATTAATATTAAGGAAATATTTAAATATAAAATATTCATTCAACAATTTAGTATTTAAAAAATTAACAGTAAAATTGAAACAAAGGGAAACAATAAAATTATGAAAACAAATAGTGGTCAAATTGTTAGAAATGTATGCCTTAAATTCTTTTATACTTAGAAGTTCCATACTTCATTTGACGTATGCCTTGAATGGTTTGACAAACAATCTTTAACTTTTTTTATACGGCTTAAAAATGCAATCTTTCCGAATAAAATCATAACAATTTTCCCCCTAAAATATCAATATATTTTATTATTAAATTAAAAATAGTAAATATGACTCATTAATTATGCAAATATCATCAATTAAACATAATAAAAATATATTTTTTTAATTATTATCAACTGGGTAAAAGCCTAACAAACAACAAAACAACTAACTAATTATTTTGGAAAAACAAATTCTCCTATCATCCTCTTGGAGGATGAGAACAAGCTGAGGAGGGAAAACTCAAAAACAAGTTTATCTTTATGCACTTGAAAAGTCTAGTTTGCAAGATAATTCTCACAACAGTTGATATGATAAATATTAACTATCCTAATAGAAAAAATCAGCAACTTGATTTCCCTAATGAGAAGATACATCTTATGATTAGGAGAAACATTAGAAATACCTAAAGTTATGACTAACTTTGAATCCATCTAAATTAAGACACTCTCCAACTTTGTCTTTAACTAGCATAAGTCTCATTAAAAGTGCCCACAGCTCAGACTAAATAACAAAGCAATGATCCAACTTTCTTATAAAGCTAACATAAAAACTACCTTGATCAGGCTTACACATGAAGCCAACCCTGAGCATCATGAACCAAGCCATCCACGTTAAGCTTGAAACACCAGAATAAAGGAGGGGTCCAACCAACAAGAACTTCATGCTTACAGGTCCTGTAGAGGGAAACAGAAGAAGAGATAGAATTAGTGGAGAAGTACTTAGAATAAAAATTCAGTTTACACAAAAAAATCTTTTGAATTCACATATTTCCTATATACTTAATCATTCCAATTTAACCACAACAGTCAAATAACAACACCAAATTGAATATTCTAGTTATTTATCCCATTGAAACAATTACATTTGAGATTAAAAATAAGCCATTTAGATAGCTCCAAACTAAAAAAAGGAAACCAACTATCTCTAACAACAAAATTATACCAAATAGCAGAAGCAAAATGACAATCCCTAAAAATATGCATAATTATTTTAGGCAATTACAACATTGATTACATGAATCAAAACTTGAAAAACCTATAATGAACCTTTCTTCATTAGTTAGCAGTTTTTCACGAGCAACTTTTCAAAGGAATAATTTAATCCTTTAGGTCCTTGTTATTTCCAAATCAGACTAAATAACTCAGAATCATTGCAATCAATATCATGATCTAAGAGGTGATAAGCAAAGCATAAAGAAAAATTCTCATTAGAAGAAGGAAATCAGTTAGCCACATCTGGGCCAACATCAATTATGGGAATAACTCGAATGTTTTAAAGCCCGTTTGGACCGTAATATAAGGAGAATTTTTTTTCCAATCTCAATCACTATTTGAGATGAAACAGGCCCTAGAGCATCAGAATTTAAATCTTTCAGACATCTAATACCAAGAATTTAAAAATCTTCCCAGAATTTAGTTTTAAAATCATTGTCTAAAAATCTAAAAGACAAAACTTTTCTTAAACTAGACCAAGCATTACATATTCCTGTCCAACTAGTAGAAAAAGACCCTAAGTGAGAGATAATAGAATCATAATCTAAATTAAATTTATATTTTGTTATTAAAAGAACCTTAACCCAAATATAATAAAAATGCTATTCAAATATAATAATTTGCATCAGTTTATGTTTAATAAAAATAAAAACAAAATTTACATGTTATTTTTTTGATGTAGTAACTATTATTTATTAATTAAATTTAAGTTTTGTTTTAATAAAATATATATATTTCATGATATTGTAAATTAGACAAAATTCAAATTTGATTGCTAAATAACACCAACAACATTTAAGCAACTGCATCTAAGTTTTGTTCCAAATAAAATCTTACAATTATAATATAAAATAATAGATTATTTATAATTTCTTTAACTCCTACTCAAAATGAAGTTCTCTATAAGTAAAATCACAATATTGTATAGAAAGAGACCCAGCCAACCTTAAGAGGTGAAGCTTGAAAGTGATAAATATCATATGCAAATATCTCACCAGGAACTTCAACTTTACCAAACATAGGATCAGCTAAAGGTTATTGTTACCTGTGTGGTTTACTCTTAAAAAATTATCCAATAACCACTTGTATACAGTAGTTCTATTCTTCATGTTTTTCTTGCCACATGAAAATTTTATTTACCAAAAAAATAAGAAAATACATTACTACTTAGAGAACCAAAAGATATAAGAAAATTAGACAGCATAATTAAATCCGAAAGATAAGAAGAGGTGAAG